TGATAATGTATCATTTTAGTAGTTTAAAACATTATTGATTGGAAAATTTGTGATTATTCTCTTTTTTCCAGTGAAATGAACTTATTTTAAATTAATACAAATATAATTTAAAGCATAAAATATCTATCAACATGTGTAGTTAATTATTGTACAAATAATAATTTTTTATAATAAATAATAGTATTATACAAATAACATTATTTATTTGTAAAAAAACATTTATTTTAGGATTCTAAAATGAAAAGAGATCAAAAACTTTCAATCTTTTAAAAATTATTACCCTTAGGTAAATTAATTATTAATATGTTAAAAATAATTGTTTCATGTAATGTATCAAAATTATTAATCCTTATGATTGATTTAAATTTGTTTCAAGTATTTTGTAATAATCTTTAATCAGCAATTTAGATAATTTGGTTTTTGCCGGTTTTTACCACTGTCCTGGCAAAAAACCCTTTTTGCCGGCAAAAACTCCAACCCTGATTTATACATGTTTAATATTTAACATAACTTTTTAAATTAGCATTTATAATTAAATTACATACTAATGCAGACACCTTGATAGTAACTCATTCAAGAAACTAACTTACTTCGTACAAGAAACGCACTATTGGATTTTAAAATCACATTAATATGAATTGCGATATTAGATTTCAAAAAAGTGAAAACACAAATAGCAATAATTAATTTTGAAATCGCGGACGTCTGATTCGAAAAATTTGTTGTCCGCGTGAAATTTTTGACCGCCGAGGACGGGCGGTTTTTCGAGCCCTGCAACCTTTGTCTATCAAAAGGTACCGCATCTCGCGTTTGAATCAAGTTAGCATGTCTTATATACCAGTGAATAATTGTTAAATTTTTGTAGTGGTAGTTAGGCCATAATTGCTTTAAACGGTAATTGGAACAGAAATTACGATTTAATTCCTGTTCCAACATATTGCATTCGATGAGTAGCACATTTCTGCAAAGACTGTTGTGTTGTTAATCAGAATAACTGAATTCACATTTCAAGAAAGTACCAAAAATTTTAGATTGGCCCTTTTGTACAAGAAAAGGAGACAAAAACAAAATGTTTTGGTAAGTAGCTTACATTTTATTTTGATAGCTTTACTTCATTTCTAACTAACTGTTGTTGGTTTTAACCCAGAAAAATGTCGAAACAATTAAGACAACACAAGTTTTTAGAAGAAATAATATAAATTATAAGAATAATTAGAAGAAATATGTTTGCGGAAAATGTACAATGGAAAAATCCCATATATGTAAAATATGCCTTGTGCGATGAATTAAAAATTCTCATTCTTTGTGTTTGTAATACAATAAAAATTAGCAATACACAATTTTGTTTCATTATAATCAAGTTTTTATAGTTTAATACTAACATCCATATTTCATAAATTCAATCAAGAAACTAAGTCCAGTCATATGGTAGAAATAGGCATATATTAAGCGTTGTTATGTTTAGTGTTGAATATATTACAATTGTACCTTTACTTTTTTATAATGTACGCTTTTACCGAGTGTTTCGGTCATCTGAGAGAATCCGGACTTAACTTAATAACAGTTAAAGCACAATTGTAATGTTACAGCTGTTCAAAACTTTAACTTTATAACAACACATACCTTCAGATGGATGTTCAAACCCGCAATCAACAATTGCTCTTAGTAGCTCTGGTTTCAGTAGGAAATCTCGAAATCCGGAGCTATGTATTGAAACATAACCACCGGTTGGTTTCTTTGTCTCAACTACTGTTTCAGGTACAGTAGTTTCCTGTTCATCTTCATCTTCGTAGTCCAATAACTCAGCTTCGTTTTCAGTCATAATTTAGCCAAACGCTTGTATAATATTTATCTGGGTAAGAAAAAAAAAGACATAGAAATTTTGTTATCACTAAAATAGCTCATGGAATTAAAAAAAAAATGGCTAGAAAGGTTTAAATGTTTAGAGTACATTGATCATATGAGAGAATTCTAAAAGAAACAATTCAATAATAAATATTATAATAAGAAAAACGGTTAGTTAACTTCATAAACTTACTAATTAAAAGTGGTATAATATTACGTGAAAAACTGTTGATTATTTCAGATGGAAATTTTAATTAGTCGATCAAAAATATATACTCTCTCCAACAACCAAGCTTCACTTCAATCAAAAGTTTCAATTTTTAAAAACGATTCAGGCGAATGGATAGTATTTTCTACACTAGGGTGCACTGCAAGCTCTTTATTGACTTCCGGGTCACTTATGCCAGTTTATTTTGAAGCCATTGGGCTCACAATGTGATCATAGTGTTTTGAGACTTTCTTGAGTAGTTTTTTCTTGTATACATGCATTTGTTACCTGATTTATTATTTTTTTTTTTTAAAAAGAATATTTATAAAAATTGTCGTTTGAAGACCTGTCATTTCAAGACGTATGAATCGTCATTTGAATAAAAAAAATCGTAATAAAGCACTTCTTACCTTTTCAACAATAATTGTACGAGTATATTGTTGAAAGCACTTGCACTTTGAAATTTAAAATTAAGTAATAATTTGTAAAATGACCTTAATCTCGCTATTCGAACAATATATGCTAACGCTAACGTATGATGCTGCACGGCTTGCAACCAAGAACAAACTGTAATAAACAAATAAAAAGAGATCAAATCGGGATAGCTAAAAAAGCTTAAAAAATCCTACAGCCATGTCACCTATTTTAATAATACTTCTATAAATAACGAAAACAAATTTTCACTTCAAACTTTGTAGAATTACTTATTATCTTATGAAATACAGCAAATTTGAGTTCAAAAATCAGCTCCTAGCAGAATAAGCTGTATTAAGCGGCTGTATAATTTCAAACCGGAAGCAGAGAAGGTCGAGAGCTTAATATTGTTGTTATTTACACTTATATTGAATATAATATATACCACCACCCATTGTTACCATTTTATACACCCCCCATTTTAGGTTTCTGCAGTTTTCCAAGACGGGACAGGCTGGAATTGAGTAAAACTTTTGCTCAGTCGCAATATCTTTAAAACCTGAAACATTCCCTATGATTATAATTAAATGATCGAATTTCATGGGGAAAAAAGTTAACCATCTTTAGGGTGGGTTAAGGCGATCAAAGAAACTTTGATCAAAATAGGCGTGAGCATTCAAATTACAACATGAAAGTAAATAAAATATAAATGGGCAGATGGGCACTTTATTTACGTCGCACTATACAGTTGCACTACTGGCGAAGAACTGGGAAACATCCCTAAAGACGATCCGAAAACATGCCAACGCAATTTTGAACCTCTGCAGAGGGTATGGCTCCCTTGCTTTTCTTTGATATCCCGATGAGTTGTGCTCAAAATCAAGCACTTTACGTAGGGACCGATCAAGACAAATTCAGGCCCAAGGCCCACCAAATTTTCCGGGCCCCTTACAAGATATTCTGAAATTAAATTACTGAAAAGTAGTCGTAACAATGAAAAAGAATCTATTGAACTGCATGATTCAAGAGAAATATTCTAAGAAATATTGAAAGCTGACAATTGAAGATTATATTTCTAAGATAAAGTTTACGTATCTATAAATTAAAGCAAAATATAAAACAACAAAACAATGTTATATCAAAATGAAAATAGTTTGGTGGCAACAAACAATTGAAATCAGTAATTTTTGCTGAAAGTCACTGATTTTTATTTAATAATCTTTGTTGTAACAGTTTTTTTATTTAATACTTAAGCTAACACAAAGCTAGTTCACCTTTCATTAGACTTTTTACCATTTTTGAGGCCCCTCAGAAATTGCGGGCCCTAGGGCCATGCCTATTGGCCGGGCCACAGGTGATAATCAGGCTCCGACTTTACGATCAAAATATTATGCGGGACAAAATCTAAATGGGAACCGCGTAATGGTCAGGAAAAGGGAAAATGTGAAGGGGGGAAAAAAGTTGCGCACTGTAGTTGAGGGTATGATATATTTAAAAAAATAATAATCACGAGCTCTTTGTTTTTAAAAGTCATTCAAATTTTAAAATTATTTACTAAATTTTAAAAAATTAAAATTCCATTTTATTACGCATTCATATTAGCAGTGTAATCTATCTTGTGCTTTTATTAAAGGAAAAAAATAGAGAAATTCTTGTTTTTTAAATTAAATAAATATGGTAGGTAGGTACTTTATTTACGTAACACTAGAGCTACACAATGGAATATTGGTGAAGGTCAGGGAGGCTCCCCTGAGACATATGCCATCGCAATTTTGGTCCTCTGCAGAGGGATGGCTCCCCTATGTTGGTAGCCCGACGACATGCACGTGAAGTCAAGCACTTAACGGTAGAACAGATTCTGCGCCCCTCGGTCCCCATGCAGGTTGATCAAAGTGGTCACCCACCCGCTTACTGGCCGCAGCCAGTGATTTTTGACTTCGGTGTTCTACCTAGAAAGCATGTAACCTTACAACAACCTTGTGTTTTAACTTTATTTTCACTGTCACGAAAATGTTTGGAGTAAAAACCTTTTTTTCAATGACGTAAAAATATTGCAATTTCCAATCTTTCCTCCTTAAAGGAAAACTAAATGATTTCTAAATCTTTTTTTAAAAAATATTGCTATTTAGGTTAAAAAACAAGCAAATTGTAAACTTTATTTTTTGCATTGTTGTTTGCTGTCATGATTAGGTTAGCAGAAATATTAAGCGAAAACCTTTTTCAAAGGAAACGAAATAAAGCTAATATTGACCTTTTCAGCGAAAATATTTAAATAATAAGAAAATATTTTGCAAAGGACCTCATTTAAGGGAAAGCAAATAAACGAGCATAAGACCATGTTTTTGGACTGTTTTTTTAGGTCTGCAAAAGTACAATACGAAAACTTTCTTTTAAAGGTTTCTCGACACAAGTATAAGTAATAGTTCTTTTTTAGAAACTTTTCATTCGAATAATCTCATTAAAAAATAAATAAAATTTTAAAAAATTTGAATTTGGAGTTTGAAATTGACTCTTTAATATTTTTTTACACATTTTATTTTTTTCTCGAATTTGGCTATAGGGGTCCTATGCGTTGCGGTTCCTTTAAAATGTGTGGCCTTCTCTCGTTCATTTTACCTTATTGCAAACCTAATTATGGTATAGCAATAAAATATCCGCGCGAAGAGTATTTTATTTAAAATATTTATAAACAGAAAAAATTCGCCCAACAGCCTATTGTGTGCTAGAGGGTCATCGATATTAAGACTTCACGATTTATGACTGAGTGATGGTGAAAATAAAATCAGCATTGTGCACCCATCGCTTTTATTTGCCTGACAAGCTGGTACCCTCTCTAAAGCTGGGTGGATTCAAAGCCTAGACCCACAGTTTTTTTCATCATATCTTTGGAGTGAACTTAAGAACATTTTGTTCACAGAACTCGATGTATAGTGTGCAAAATAAGAGACAGACCACCCTGAATAGATTTTGATCCATCAATTGAATTTTCACGCTTTGTAACTCAATCTTAATTTTTTTAAGGGGTGATCTCAAATATGCTAATTAATTAGTGCAGGCAATTATTTAAATTACGAAATTAGACACAAAAATGTGTTTTCTCCCAATAAACATATCTTTTCTCCGACGGATTCAGATTTTGAACCCCCAAAATATAGGGGGTAGCCACAATCTGGGGAATATTGTCCCTATAGTTTGATCATGAGGGCGATCCAAAGTTTGGATGCCTCTATCTTAATTTAATATTTTGCATATTTCGCCATATATAGAGACCTTTTTAAGAGAGTTAAAAAAATTTGAACATAATTTTAAAATTCGTTTATCCAATGCAGAAAATAAACTTTAGTAGATATTTATTATTTTTTATTAGGTTATTAAATAATAGCTGGATAATTTTTGAATTATAAGGCATACAGCTTTTTATACAATTTTTATGTATGTAATTTTACATGGCAAAATACAAAATCGAGCTAAATCTATCGAATTGTTCCTGTGTATATTTAAAATTTGATTTCTCAGAAACTATTCAACCGATTATGCTCAAACTTTGCATTTTGTCATGTGAAATTACATATTTTAAAAGGAAGTAAAGATTTTATACCTCTCAATATAAATTTTGGCACTGCTGTAAAAGATTTTCTCGAAGAAGTTTATAAATTAGCAGGGATGTAAATGTTCAACCATTCCTGAAATTTTGCAGCAGTTTTTTCGTGTCAAGAATTTTTTCTATACTAAAATTAAAATAAAAAATAAAAAAAAATGTAAAAGGAACTAATATAAAGAAAAACAAGTTTTTCTATAGGGGGGGGGAGGCTAAAAGTCTGTTTAATTAAATTTTAATTAAGTCGTTCAAAAAATCGGAAGATAGTATTTTAAATCTGTTCTCTTTCTTTTAACGTCTTATTTGAATTATCAAACAAATATACGTCTAAAATACACAAAATTAAAATGGAAAAGCAATAAATAAAATTTTAAACGAAGTTCTTTTAAAAACTAGAAAAACTTCTTTTAGCCTTATTGTACCGAAACTTTGAGGCAATGCTTAATGTTCAAACTTCAATATTCTTATTCAATTAAGAATAATAATTTAAATAAAGAAAAATAAATAAAAAAATAATAATCTCACTAAATTTAACTTTTGAAAATTACTGTAAACCCCTGATTCCCCTCCCTACCAAAATACTGTCTTAAAAACTGCTGCTTACGTCATGCGCAACTTTGCACTAACATTACGGCTACTGATCATTTACACTCTTGGAGTTTACTGGCTTGATTAAAGCTTAAAATTGAAGTTTCTTAATGATATTCTGTGATTCATTTTGAAATTGGAATTCATTTGAGAAATTTGATCTCTATAATTGATCAAAAATCGTCGAATACTGTCAAGTTTCGAATAATGGCCATGAAAATTTTTGTGACCAGTACTAAGACACCCTGCTTCAGTTTGTTTTAGGCGATAGTTCGGTTTCAACATGGAAGATGACGTGATCGATTGTAGCGGCTCTTGGGTGCTAATTGATGGATTGCTTCTACCACATAATTTTCGGAACTTGAATGCAGTTTATCTATTGATTCGACTTCATATTTATGTATAGTGCGAAACAAAATTACTCGTCTTAAATAACTTTCAATCTAATACGTAAATGGTTTAGGTCTTGAGTCTCAATTTTTTTTTTTTTTGTTTTTTTGTTCGAGGACATAATCTTGTACAAGCTAATTTATTTATACAAATGATATTTTAAGTTACAAAACCAGAAAAAAACACGATTTTTTTTTTACTCAGATGGATTTGAATTTTTGATCCTCAAATTTTGAGGATCAAAATATGGAAGGTAGTCAATATTTTAAAAGTTTTCCAGCCTGAAAATATTGCCAAAGTTGTTTAGGCAGGAGAGCGTTTGAATGTTCGGATCTCTTAATGTTAACAAAGCTTTTTGAGTATTTCGCTATGTTTGAAGAATTTTTTTAAGCGAATCATGAAGTTTTTGCACACTATTATAAGATTCGTTTATCCAAAGATAATTCTATGCAAAAAATAACTTTAAATAAATATTATTTTTTATTTTATTTACTAATTGTCGAAAACACTTTGCATTGCAAAATATAGAAATTTTTTTCCATAATTTTTAAGAAAGTAATTTTAAAGGCAAAATGAGAAATTTGAATGAAATCGGACTAATAGTTTCTAGGTAGTCAAATTCTAAAAAAAAGCTATTTATAGAAAATTCGATTTCTGAAGAACACTTCGATTGATTTCATTCAAATTTTAAATTTTTGATTTGCTTTAAAAGTTATACAATACGAAATTTGCAAAAAGGAATTTTAACATTAAGTGATTCAAACTTTCAACCGCTCTCCTTCATAAACTGTTGATACCATATTTTGCAGATGGCAGGTGCTTCTCCTGTTTTAAGGGTCTAGGAACTGAATCCCTCATAAAGTTAGACATTCAAATCAATAAGATCGAGTAGTAGTATGTACATTAAAATCCGATGTATTATAAATGCTACGTTTGGTAAAAATCAGATTCAAGATATAGTAATACACAGTTTCTATTTTAAAATCCTGCTAAGTAGTCTGGAGCCTCATAAAACTTTTTAATATGGATAAATCTTTAATTTCTGAAATATTATTTTTATTTGTTGAGCTATATTTTGGTATTAATGTAAATCTAACTAACGTTAGTGCTAATTTCCATTTTTTATAATAACTATAAATGCATTGTAAATGCTATTTACTTGAATCTATTGGCAACTTATACATCCAAAAAAAAAAAAATAATAATAATTAAGGTAAAATAGTAATAACAGTAAAAACTTAAAGTATTGATAATTAAATTTAAATTATAGTTTAAGTGTTTACTTGAAACCTACTGATATTAAGAAGGGAGCATAATAACCATTTAATGTCTTTCGGGTAAGGGTGTTCCAATCATAAATTTAAGTTTTAAATTCTTAAGTTAATATTAATTGATAATCTTAAAAATACAAATAACAATGCGTAAATTAAATACTTAATAAGGCAAATGAAATGCAATTAAGCTATGAACCTACTTTTTATATGAACGAAAGGGAAAAATCTTAAGCTTGAAACAATAAAACAGAATATGATTAAGAAACTTCAATTTTAAGCTTTAATCAAGCAAGTTAACTCCAAGAGTGTAAATGATCAGCAGCCGAAATATTTGTGCAAAGTTGCGCATGACGTAAACAGCAGTATTTTGAGAGGGAGGAGAATCAGGGGCTTATAATAATTTTCAAAAGTTAAATTTAATGAGGTTATTTTTTTCTTTTATTTTTGTTATTATTTTTAATTGAATAAGAATATTGAAGTTTGAACATTAAGCATTGCCTCAAAGTTTCGGTACAATAAGGCTAATAGAAGTTTTTCTAGTTTTTAAACGAACTTCGTTTAAAACTTTATTTATTGCTTTTCCATTTTAATTTTGTGTATTTTAGACGTATATTTGTTTGATAATTCAAATAAGACGTTAAAAGAAAGAGAACAGATTTAAAATACTATCTTCCGATTTTTTGAACGACTTAATTTAAATTTAATTAAACAGACTTTTAGCCGCCCCCCCCCCTTTAGAAAAACTTGTTTTTCTCTATATTAGTTCCTTTTATATATTTTTTATTTGAAATTTTTATTTTCAGCAGTGTTTTGCCGATAATGTATAGAAAAAATTCTTGACACGAAAAAACTGCTGCGAAATTTCAGGAATGGTTGAGCATACCTGCTAAATCTTTTATAGCAGTGACAAAATTTAAATTGAGTGTTATAAAATTTTTACATCCTTTTAAAATATGTAATTTCACGTGACAAAATGCAAAATTTGAGCATAATCGGTTGAATGGTTTCTGAGAAATCGAATTTCAAATATACACAGGAACTATTCGATAGATTTAGCTCGATTTTGTATTTTGCCATGTAAAATTACGTACATAAAAATTGTATGAAAAATTGTATGCCTTATAATTCAAAAATTTTCCAGCTATTATTTAATAGCGCACTAAAAAATAATAAATATCTACTAAAGTTTATTTTCTGCATGCAATTATCTTTGGATAAACGAATTTTAAAATTATGTTCAAATTTTTTTTAACTCGCTTAAAAAAGTCTCCATGTATGGCGGAATATGCAAAATATAAAATTAAGATAGGGGCATCCAAACTTTGGATCACCCTCATAATCAAACTATAGGGACAATATTCCCCAGATCGTGGCTACCCCCTAATACAGAGAAAACACATTTTTGCGTTTAATTTTGTAACTTAAATAATCGCCTGCACTAATTAATTAGCATATTTGAGATCACCCTTTCGAAAAATTAAGATTGAGTTATAAAACGTGAAAATTCAGTCATTAGATCAAAATCTATTCAGGGTGGTCTGTCTTTTATTTTGCACACTATACATCAAGTTCTGTGAACAAAATGTTCTTAAATTCACTCCAAAGATATGATTAAAAAAACTGTGGGTCTAGGTTTTGAATCCACCCAGCTTTAGAACGGGTACCAGCTTGTCAGGCAAATAAAAGCGGTGGGTGCACAATGCTGATTTTATTTTCACCATCACTCCTCTTTAGTCATAAATCGTGGAGTCTTAATATCGATGACCCTTTAACTCACAATAGACTGTTGGGCGAATTTTTTCTGTATATAAATATTTTAAATAAAATTCTCTTCACGCGGATATTTTATTGCTATACCATAATTAGGTTTGCAATAAGGTAAAATTAACAAGAGAAGGCCACTCATTTTAAAGGAACCGCAATGCATAGGACCCCTAAAGCCAAATTCGAAAAGGAAAAAAAAATTGTAAAAAACTATTGAAGAGTCAATTTTAAACTCCAGATTCAAATTTTTTAAATTTTTTTTTTTTTTAATGAGATTGTTTGAATGAAAATTTTAAAAAAAAGGTACTATTACTTATACTTATGTCGAGAAGCCTTTAAAAGAAAGTTTTCGTATTGTACTTTCGCAGACCTTAAAAAAACAATCCAAAAACATGGTCTTATGCTCGTTTATTTGCTTTCCCTTAAATGAGGTCCTTTGCAAAATATTTTTGTATTATTTATTAATATTTTCGCTGAAAAGGTTAATATTTGCTTTATTTCGTTTCCTTTGAAAAAGGTTTTCGCCTAATATTTCTGCTAACCTAATCATGACAGCAAACAAAAATGCAAAAAATAAGGTTTACAATTTGCTTGCTTTTTTAACCTAAATAACAATATTTTTTAAAAAAGATTTAAAAATCATTTAGTTTTCCTTTAAGGAGGAAAGGTTGGAAATTGGAATATTTTTAAGTCGTTGAAAAAAGATTTTTACTGCAAACCTTTTCGTAACAATGAAAGTAAAGTTAAAACTCAAGGTTGTCGTAAGGTTACATGCTTTCTGGGATTATATCAGAAGATCATATCATATCTTTATCTCGCCGTTTGATGATGCGCGGAATGCAACGAGAACAGAGTACGGAATGCAAGTAAAAAAAAAGCATCGATAAATAACTAAAACAAATGTTGACTTCAAACTCAACAGAATTACTTAATATCATTAATATTTTAATAAACACAGCAGANGGTTGGAAATTGCAATATTTTTAAGTCGTTGAAAAAAGATTTTTACTGCAAACCTTTTCGTGACAATGAAAATAAAGTTAAAACACAAGGTTGTCGTAAGGTTACATGCTTTCGGGGTACGTACTTTGTCAAAAATATACCAATATCGAAATTTAAACCTAAATGATAATTCGTAAAAAGGTCTTTATCTCGTCGTTTGATGGTGCGCGGAATGCAACGAGAACAGAGTACGGAATGCAAGTAAAATAAAAACATCGATAAATAACTAAAACAAATGTTGACTTCAAACTCAACAGAATTATTTAATATCATTAATATTTAAACACAGCAGATTTGAGCTCAAAAATTATAAAACTTATTTATTTTGTTAAAAACAAATTACCTGTTTCAAAATATCGCATCACAAAATAAGCAGCTGTATACTTTTTAACAGGAAATAAATCAGATCCAGAGTTCGAGATTGTTGTTTACATTTATATTGAAAACACCATCTAATAGTTGACATGTTTCCCCATTGTGAAACTGAAGGATTCATTTTAATAATAAAAAAGTTTTTTGTTGGTACTTTTATTTCGTCTCAATAAGGAGATGTTTTTTAATTGGAATTTTTGATGTTTTATTTATTAATTAAGTGTAAAAGACAAGAACTTTCCTCTTATTTTTCCCCCATAAAAGTTTGAATTCGGCGATACATTCATGCATGTTGTTTTAAAAATGTGAACTTTTGAGTGTGAAAATGTTGTTGAGTGTTCTTTCATTTGCCTTCTATTTGTATTGTTGTTGGTGCCAAGTACTGTACTATGAATACGATGTTGAAGGGGAAGCTCAACATGGATTTTATGTAACTATTACTATAGGTCGTCCACCACAAAATATAAAACTTTTAATTGATACTGGAAGTGCTAATTTCGCAGTAGCTGTCACTCCACCTCTGAAAAGCGGCAGCAATAATTTCTTTCGTTACTCTAACTCGAACACTTTTGTGAAAACAAGCTCTCATATAGCAATTCAATATGTTCAGGGTAATTGGAGTGGCTTTTTAGCCACCGATATAGTATATGTTGAAAAGAATCGCTACGTTAGGTGTGCCATAGCCTGTATGTCGGATGTGCATAATGTTTTCGACATCAATTCAATGTTCAGTGGCATATTGGGATTGGCCTATCCAGCTGTAGCTAAACCCAATTCATCCATCTCCCCATTCTTTGATGCCATCAGGAAGGCTCAAAATATAAACGACGTTTTTTCGATCAGTTTGTGCGGTCCTTCATTCTCGGACAGTCGCGGCTCGGATGGAAAATTGCACTTCGGGTTTATTTCTGCCAGGTACTATTCTGGCAAGATAATGTATTCTCCGATCACGAGAGAGCGTCTTTACGAAATAACTTTGACAACGCTGAGAGTGGGATCGAAAGAAATAGCCGTGAATTGTGAGGAATTAAATGATCCCAGATCGTCTGTGGATACGGGAACGACCCAACTACTCGTATCCAGTTTGGTGTATAATGAAATCATATCTAAAATAAAATTACACGTTAGTGAAGAAGAGAGTCAGTCGGGCGTCGTGGGAAATGTCAGTAAATTCTGGCTCAATGATACAGCAGCTTGTGTTCCTAAGATGTATTTTAATATTTCTCTTTTTCCTGACCTATTCATATCTTTTTACCACACTGATAACAGTTATTTTAATCTTGTTATATCACCTGAACTTTATCTACTTCCTTTTCAAGAGTTTTCCATCGAAAATACTTGTTTCACGCTCGGCATCGGCGTATCCGACGTTGGAACGATCGTCGGTTCCACTCTTTTGAAAGGGTATTACGTCGTTTTCGATCGAGCCAACAAGAGAATAGGCTTTGCTAACTCTAGTTTCTGTCTAAAAGAGATGAGCTTTGTTACGATGCCCAGTTTTTTAGACAGCGCCAACTTCTCGAATTGCAAATGTGTTGAGAACAATGTTCAGAATGATTCTATTACTGCTGGAACCATTATATTATTAGTGTTTATTTTAATACTGGCAGTTTTGTTGTTATACAGGATAATTGTATGGGTTCAAGCTATTAGGTTTCAGTATTCTAATAATCACTTAGACACTAGCAACTTAGTTGAGGAAGATGATAAACTATAAAACTAAATTTTTTTAAAACATTGTTGTGTGTCTACCACTACAAAAATACAATTCCAATTCACTACTATATAAGACGTGTTAACTCGATTCTATGTAGGTGTATCTTTAGATAGATGAAGGTTGACATTGTTGATAACTATTATCTCCACATTGGTGACCTGCAGATGTGATGTGAACACGCCTACCTTTACAGAACCTCCCACTTCGATTTGAACACACCTACTTCAATGAATGGTCCACATTGAACTATGGACTTGCTACTTATAACTGCGACATTATCCAGCTCATTGTGCTGTTGCTGCTCAGTCTAGTTCACACACAACATATACACTCGACAGCTAGCGGCAACACAGGAAGGACTTTCCAGAAGTCCAGGGTCCTGAAGTTTCAAGAAATCATCAATCACATTTATGTATAAAATTTCTTGTATATTTTATTTAGAAATATTAAAACTATAATTTATACTTGGCATCGCTTTCATTTGTAAATATTTTTTCTGTTAGAATAATAAATATGGTTAAAGATAAAAGTAAACTTATACATAATTATTCATTTAAATTATGCTGTCTATAATTTATTGAGAATTTCATGTTTTGAAAATATGAATGATTTAAATTTATAAAGACAAAATTTTTTAGAAATGAGTAATTAATGATTTTACTGAAAAAAATTTCAGGATTTTAGAGTTGAGCTCACAATCACCCCTGGATATGTAATGTAGGGAAAATATTTATAAACTTCTGCAAGTTTATAATTACTTTCCTTATTAGCTTTCCCTACTAACTAACTTTGTAAATAATATATTAAGTATGTAAATAAATAAATTTATAAACATTATACCTTTCAATGTAAGGGACAAATCAATATGATCCATTTTGCCTATGGAAAGAATGAAGTTAATATCAATAGGTACAAGAACTGAAATGATTGCTACTCCTAAAAACTGAGATTTTTTTCCCTATAAAAGGTTATGCCAATTCAGTCCTATGCATGTTGTGATAATTTAGTAATTTTTATTGTGAATGTCCTTCTTTTAGCATCCCTGTTTCATTCTCTTTTTTGCATGCTTTGTAGAAATCTCTTCTTCTTCCTTCTGTAGTTGCATGAAGATGCTCATACTTTATGTGTAGATTGGAAAACTCTCCTGGTTAGTACATTTTATTTTTGAAGAGCCTTCTACATTGTCAGAACTGAACAAAAGAACAATTGCAAGATTTATATTATTTATTGACCTATCCATAACATCAACAGACTCATAAAAACTTGAGAGTATTTGCCAAATGAACTTCAATTTAAATGTTAGTTGGTCATCACTGTCCATGCTTCAAAAATGCTGCTCTGAAAAAAAAAGGAACTGTGATTTCTATCCCACACAGCGGTAATAATAGAAGTTGGTGACGTTCCCGGCCACAAAAATTATCTCACTTCATTAATAATATTAGTGTGTAGAAATAAAATTCTCCCACAGTGATCGTAAAGACACGAATCCCAGCAGAACACTGAAGTTAAGCATCACCGGCTGCCGTCAGTAAGAGGGTGGGTGACCACTTAGATCAGCCTGCGTATGGACCGAGGGTGCTTGGTATCAGTCCTTGTTAGACTATTCTACAGTAAAGTAATAGACTTAGCCCGCAGGTCGTCTGGCTATCAAGGAAGAAGATCAAAGTTGCGATGGTATGTCTTTGGATCATCCTCAGGGATGTTTCTCAAACCATTGATCTTAAGTCCATTTTCTTAAGTCTTTCGACCAAGGTGAAAAATGAAAGGATAAAATTTTTTCTTAATTTTTATACCCAATCTAAAGGTTTTGTATTCTCACTATGTAAATTAATGATAATTTTTTTTATTGCATAATAAATTTTTTTTTATTTGGAAAAATAACTAACATTTTAAAGACATTTTTTAGTTTATTACAATATTATTTTTTTAAAGCAGTCATTGAACTTTAATTACATTGCCTTGTAATTTTGTACCCAATGCAGAGTATTGCTAGAAATTTGCCTTTGTGAAGGACTTTTTAAAGGAACTAACCTGCATTTACGTTACATGGGAAGGATAACTACTCTCGGGTAGCGGGACAATAAGTGAACGCTAACCCATGATCCGTTTACCACTGAGAATGTTTTACGTCAGCTCTCAGAATGTTTTACGTCAGAACACTCTATCCCCTGAGCCACCACAGCTCTTTAAAAAAATATTTTATTTTATAACTGTCGTTGAGCAGCTGACTCAATTTTTTGGGCTCAATTTTTTGGGCAGCTGACTCAACTATTAATGTTCAACTCCATAGCCTTGGAATTTTGAACCCAATCTAAAAAGACAAGTTAACTCCTTGATCAAATACTTTGAGAAATTATGCCTTCTTTGAGAACAAGTACAATATTATTTTATTTTATAGTTGAGCAGCCCACCTAATTTTGGGTTTAGGACTAGTAATGTTCAACTCCGCAGCCTTATAATTTTGAAGCAATCCAGAAGACAAGGAAACTCCTGGATCAGTTCCCCCAGAGGTATGACTAGTTATGGAAACATGGAGAACTTTGTAACCCAACGGATTTAACATGCGCTCGTCAATATTTTCCATCCAAGTAGTCTTTTCCCGGCGGGGATCGAACCCTCAACCTAATTCAGTGCTCAACCAGCCACAAAACATATACTTGTTTGTCTTTCAGAAAGAGTGAAGCCAGTAGTTGAAAAATATTTAATAATGCTACGTCTGTTAATTATAAAAAATTCTTATTAAATATTATATTTATATTGAATTATGTTTTCTTTATTTTAATTTCTCAAAGTGCTGTTTATTTAAAATCTTTTTTCCAATTTTTCTCTTTTCGCAAAATTTTAATGGAATTTTTAAATGTTTATTTTACAGAGTGTTGGCATTGATAAGGGCAGTATACCTGATCTAACCAAGGTAAGTCATAATGCTATGCTTTAAATCAATTCAACTTGAACTCTAAAATGTTCCTAAAAGGAAATTTAAGTAGCAAAATCCGCTTTAAACACACAGGCAGTAATGCTTTCTAAATTGCAATATTTCACTATAAGTTTTCTTCACTTTTTTCTTATTTTATTTGAATTGTCGTTCTACAGCCGACCCAATTTTGAGTTTAAGGCTACCTATGTTAAACTCCTTATCCTTGCAATTTTGAACCCTATCCAGAAGACAAATGAATTCCTTGATCAGTTATTGGGAGAAATTCGCCTCTGTGGAGGACTTTTGATGGAACTAACCCGCATTTGTGTTACATGGAGAGGAAACCACAGAAACCTCCCATGGTTAGCCTAACGGCAAGGGGACTTCAACCCATGATCCGTCTACCATCCAGGATATTTAACGTCATCGGTGTGTTTGGCATTAGCAGAATTCGAATTCCAATCATCACTATGTGGGATTCATACCCGTCTAACCTCTTTGGGAAACAAACCCTCTATCCCCTGAGCCACAACAAGTAATCGTTTTATATATGTTTATTTAGTTTTGTCCTTGTCATTTTTAAAATACTGTTTATTTTCAATTGCAAGTAAACTTATTTCATAATTTTTGCTTTATGCATAAGAATGAGCAAAACTGAAAATAAATTATCCAATTCATTTCATCAGTTACAGAAAGGAAAGGAATTTTGATATTATCAGATTCGAAAAAATCAGGGATTTTTTCTTTCTGAGTGTTTGAGCCCACCCTATGATTAATAGTTAAATTTAAGCTATACTATGCCTTACAACAATTTACTTTGTTTTTAGGCTTCGTGTCCTTTGCTAGAAGAAATGGAAAATCACCTTACATATATTTGGAAGGAAAAAAAAGTCAAACAGTTGCCAAGTAACTACATATTTGTTTGAACGAATAATACTAAATTTGTCTTTTTTTATTATTATATACAATTTGGTGTCAGTCATAAAAAATCTTTGATATTGTATTAGTCGCTAAACTTCACTTTATAATTGAATATTAGTGAAAATTCATTGAAATTAAATTTTAATTTTAATCTTATTATATTTAAATTGATGTACAAAATATATCTTAAATACCTGAAAGTTTTCTTGAAGATATACATATTATTCTATTTTTTTAATATGTATATCACGATGAATTCTTTTTGTATAGTAAGATTCATGTTAAAATAATGGTTCACTTCTTAATAACAATTTTTTGAGAAATAGGCTAGTGCTTTCAATATTTACGTAACTAATAAACGACTAAAAATAACTTGCCCATAAATGATCATATTGTAAAACCCATTGGACTCAGAGTCTGTTCAGAAGAGGTTTTTGAGAAATCTTATGTTGTAAACTGTTCTATTAATTGAGCAGTGAGTTATTGCAGTCCAGGAATCGTGCTCTAAATGACTTACTATAACTAAATGAAATAGACAAAAACATTCAAAGAAATATCACTTTTGTGACTTCCTTTTTTGCCCCATACGAAAATTTGTTGTTCTCTTTATTCTATTATACATTGTTTTTAAAAACCATACTTACATTCAAATCAAATTCTAAAAATTTACGAAAAACAAACTCGTGGAATGTTTTACTTCAAGGAATTTAAGAAAGCTTTTTTAAATGTCTACTACTAGTTGTCTCCAGTTTGAAAAAGGTCTCTATTAATTTTTATTCATAAAAGATTGTCAGCAATTAAAAGTAAAAAAAAATTATCTATTGTGTGAGTAGTCTGTATAATGTGAAGTTTCGCTGTATTTTGTTAAGCTGATCATTAAAATTTATTACAATACCACCCTTTATTTTACAGAGTGCGTAGCGTTTTTTAAAAGTGCTAATTTTTGATTTATGTTTCTAAAAGCCCTTAAAGGTGCTTTTTTTAATCGGGGTTTGTAAAAAGTGGTTAATTTTTTATGTTTTATAAAGAGATCTTCTTTTTTCTTTGCCGTGTCGATTATCATTCTAAATTACAAAAAATTTACGATTTTCACAATTTTTTCTGCATTGTTTATCAGAAACTAGTTACTTTATGATGATTATGTAAAGTTTTTAAATTTTATTGATTTTTAATTTTTGATGATTTTGATTTTTTTTTTAGTTTATAAATTAAGAACTTTAAGCAATAGAAAAAAATAATTTTTATTACTGCACAGATCCTAATTATGATTTTTTTCATTTTTTGGAAAGTGATTAAAAATATTTTTTGAGCGCTTAAAAGGTGCTTATTTTTTGTTGAAAAACCTGGCTACATCATTTATGTAGTTTCTCCCCCTACATCATTTTTTTTATTATTTATGATTTTAAAAAAGTGTACTCTTTAAATTATAAATATTATATTATTAGTTCATAAGCTTTTATTATTTACACAAACAAAAAATATTACATAGTTTAAGAAATTTCATTAACCTTTTAGGACAAATTCAGTTCAGTGTGCAGTGTCTGCTCTGAGCTCTACTAGTTCTGCTTTAGCAAACAGTGCTCATGAAATCTCTCACGAGCTGAATGGCCTGACAGTGGATGAGAGTATGAGGAGGGCTGTTGAAGAAGAAGCTGCCATCATGAATCAATTGAAGGTTGTATAATCACTTGTAAAAGTTGCATGAATCTCGCTGCATTTCATATTTTGAGCATTCGGGAATGCCTATTAATGACCATTAAAATCGTCTCAAAGGACTGCAGACTTATTTATGCATCTTGCATGACTCTTGCTTCACTTCATTGCCAGGATTCTCACCCCACAGAGAAAACCGGGAAAATACAAGGAATTTAAAAATCACCTAAAATAATAGGGAATTTTGTTTCTTATTTTCGTCTTTTAAAAAATGGTGACCACTCTTAAGGATATTTCAACTATACTAAACTGTTTAATTTACTGCAGCATTATTGAAGTATCTTCAGCTGTTTCTTTTTGTCAATTTCTACTGTAAATTCATACTCTCCCTATATCTCATTCAAATTTTCAACCATTTATAAAATACTTTTTATTTATCCACTCAAGTTCAAATACATTTTTTTAAACGTGTAGTGGATGACACTTAATGTTAATACAGTTTTTATCAAATGTTAATTCATAAATTAAATAGGGATGAGCAAAAAACGAAATGGAGTTTTCTAATTGGTTAAGCATTAGTCATTGTTTTAAATTTTACTATAAGTGATTTCAGTTTTTCACTTATTTTAAAAAAAAAATCAGTGTTAATTTCTAACTTATAGCTCTATTTGAACAAAAAAAAAATAGTTTATTGAGTACATTTAAATGTTTAATTATTTTATATTCACTCTCAGATCAATTCAATAAATAACATTACCTGGTAGCAAATGGGGTCCACATCACCAAATTTATACTTTAATAGTTGTCCGATACCAGGCACCTTTTTTTCTCTTCCAATTACTACTTATTAGTTTATACTCTCCCTACATCTTGTTCAAATTTTCAATCGTTAATAAAATACTTTTTATTCATCCACTCAAATTCAAATAAATTTTTTTAAACTTATAGTGAAAGACACTTGATGTGAATGCAGTTTTTTCAAATATTAATTTATTAATTAAATTTAATTAATTAATTTTAGTTTTCGTGGGAGAAAAAATTTTAATTATATAATGAAAAGTAACTAAAATAAAATTTTCTTCTTCTGATCTAAGTAGGAATTGACTTTAAAATTTTTTTTATATTACTTGTTTAAGTATGTTCCCTTTTTTTCTCTAAGTTTTCCCAGAAATTAAAACTGGTATAGTTAGCCCAATATAGCTCGCACAAGAGCACAGTAATTATGTTTCCTCTTACTATCTGGCGTATAATATGTTCAGGGAAAATACAAAGAATTTTTTTTTCCTGATTTGAGAGGCAACTCTAACTGTATTTATATCATTTAGGAACACCCATTAGAATCATTAAAATTGTCTCATTGAATAACTGATAATAAAACGCTACTGAAAACTTTCTCCTAGAATTATGAATGCTGGATCATTTACGACTTTTGCGTGAATTTCGCTGCACGTTATTGTTTTTTAAAGCTTTCATGGTTCTCAGTTACAATCATCAAAATTGAATAACTATCAACAAAATAATGCTGATAATCCCTTGTGATGAATTGAATACTGATTGAATAACTATCAACAAAATAATGCTGATAATCCCTTGTGATGAATTGAATCATTTATATATGCTGCTTGACTTTTCCCTTATCATGTTTGCGTTTTTATCAATTTTTTTAATACAGTAAAGAAATATGCCATTTATCATCAAAACTCATTTTCACATAAATTAACACTCCTATATGAGTGTTAACATTTCCAATATAATATCGCGACCCAAATGAATGCTATTTTTTCAATGAAACTACATCATGCTTTATATAATCTTGGATTACACAGTTAAACAACTCTAACACTCAAGGAGATTATATAAATTTATTTTGGAATTTCCTTTACCTCACGAGAAATCTTTTCCTTTATATTATTTACTGAGTGGTCTTTTTGTTAAAGTTATTTTATAAACTAGTGGGCTAGTGGCTTATAGCACTTATAAAAAATAGTGCCAAGTATATAAGACATGCTAACTCAATTCGATCTTGAGAAACCTTTTGATAGATAACAACTCTCCCTAAAGGTTTATATTATAAATAATAAACTAATAAAAAATATTGATATTAGAGATTATAGAGGAAAGGGTTATATTTTAAGAGCATATAGTAATGGTCAGAGATGATTGTGCTCCGGAAAAAATTTAGATTTCCGAATTTTTCGCCAACCGTGTTCTGGAAATCCAAGGTCCAGAAGTTTTAACAAATCACTGATCTCATTAATGTATAAAAGCTCTTGTATATTTTATTTAAAAATATTAGAACTATAATTTATACTTGGCATCTCTTTCATTTGTAAATATTTTTCTGGTAGAATAATAAAAGTGATTAGAGATAAAATTAAACATAATTATTAATTTAAATTGGGCTGTCTATAATTTATTTGGAATTTCATGTTTTGAAAATTTGAATGAATTAAATTTATAAAGACATTAATTTTTTGAAATGCATCAATAATGATTTCACCCACGGAATTTTCAGAATTTTTGAGTTGAGCTCACAATTACCTTGAATGGTATAAGTTACAAATAAAAAAATATTTTAATAATATTGGATAATCAGATAGATGTACAATTAAACAAGATTTCGTGTTAGTTACATAAATAATAATTGAGTGCATATGTAATAATTTAGTTATGAAACTTAATCCGGGAAATTTACTTTTGCATTGTTAGTTGTGCACAAAACCATACTCCTGCATGTACTAGTCATAAAAATAAAGCGATTGTTACATAAACTGGCATCCCTGTTTTTCTTTTTCACTCTCTTAATGCATGCTTTGTAGTTGCTTCTTCCTCCTGTAGTCGCATGAAGAAGCTCATACTTTATCTGTAGATTGAAATACTATCCTGGTTAGTACATCTCCTTCAATTCTTTAAGAAGAGTATATCTCCTAAGTATTCCTATATCTCCTAAACTTCTCCTAAGTATTCCTATATCTCCTAAACTTCTCCTAAGTATTCCTATATCTCCTAAACTTCTCCTAAGTATTTTATGCTTGCTTTAGATAGGATTATTTATTTTAATTTCTGTGCTTGCTTGAAAGTGTTCTATGGTTTGATCAGAAAATGTGTTGTATCTGTATTTTTTTTCTTTATTTGTAGTTAAAACCCATTTTAAAAATCATAGGTCTTGATATTAAAATATATTAAGTGTTCATATTTTGTACACATGCTTAAATTGTTTTGCAATCTCGCTACTTTATTAATTAATTTTAATGTACTGGGAGATAATCTGACAGCCTGGATCACCCCTGTGATCTTTTTAAAAGAAAATGTATTTTTAGTTGAAAAATTCATTTTTTATTGTTTAAGTACTAATTTTTATCAACTAAAATAGTTTTGATTCACTTAACAAATTTTATAATTTTTATTTATTTTTATAAGTTTATTTTTATAAGTTTTTAAATTCGGATGATCCAAAAATGCCAGATATTTTTAAAGTGCCATCAGTCTAAAAAGTTATCGAGTTGTTTAAATTTTCGTGCATAAAAATAGCAAAACAAATAGTAGTTTTAATAGTTTCTTTAACATGGCACATTTTTATTAATAAAACTTGTTAAGGTTGTACGAAACATTTTAGTATGAATGCAATTTCTTTTAAAACTTGCTTATTTTATTTTAAAGAATAATAATCAATTGCAATAATGAACAATATTTTGTGTTATTGAGTGCAACGAAGATATCTCGTCCATAGAGTGGACAATAGAGTGCAACGAAGACAAGATATCTTGTCCGTGGCGATGAATGAGTTAAACCATCCTTCGTTAGAGCATTGATAAAAATTAAGGAATAATCTAGAGTTAGAAAATAATAGTAACCATTAAAATAATAAAAAAATTACTCTTAGGAAAGAAATCATGCAAACGATATGAAGAAACATTGGACCAATGTCCAATGTGATGGATTTTCCTAGGAATTCCACAGAAAAAAAATGAATGTTTAAAGATCTCAGTGAAAAAATTTAAAAATCTCATATTTTAAATATGATTATCCTATACTATGATGAAATTAAATAGCTAATGAATATACAGTCAAACCCCGCTATAGTGAACATGGTTTATAGTGAACTCCCGGATATAGTGAACTAAATGTCCACTCCCCTGCCTTGCTACTCATGTATAATGTTATTCTTTGTGGATATAATGAACCAAAAAAAGAGAGGAAGTTGGATATTATGAACTTTCTTCTGATTTCGACTGATTTATTTTCTTCATTTTTTTGTAATAATTTTGAAATTTCAACTTGAAAATAAATTCATATACCGATTTTTAAAACCATTTATAGCATAGAATGTAGCAATAAGCATTTTTTCTTATTTGCTTCATTATTGAATACCATTATTCAATTATTTCATCATTCAAAGAAGCCACAATCTTACAGTATCTGGACAAATGCTTCAAGTCAAAATCTATGAATTTGCTAAGAAAGTTGGTGAGACTACTTTTATGAAACAGGTTTAAAAAGCGGAATAACATAAATTCAGGCTTTCAGAATAACATAAATTCAGGCTTTCAGAATAACATAAATTCAGGCCTTATTCTAATTAGTAATATATTAGTGGAGTTTCCTTTCACATCTAGAATAGCTTTTATATGTTCGTAAATAAATGTAACTAGTTTTTTTTTGTCTGATCAAATTCGAGCAAAATATTTTTTATAAAATTTGACAGAAACTTTTTCAACACTCAATTGTAAATTTATGAATTTTTCTACAAATTTTAAAATTTTAATCTCAGATATGAAGTCTTTCTTTTATGTATTTTATCGCATATTACACATTTACAGCATTTTATCGCATATTGCAATAGGACACAATATATTAATTTAACAATATTCATTACTGATTTACCTCTTATGATGACTAATAATCAACTATTGTTTTATTATGACCATGAGGCGTTTTTAAATGATAAAGGAAAATATTACGGTGAAGCAAAAATTAAAATATAATTTTGCTGTCTCAAATTTGATACTAAATTGCAAATAAATATATAGAAAATGAAATGAAAAATAATTAAATAAAAAAATTAAAGCAACAGATGATCATTTTAATTCTGAAATCGGAAAACATTTAATTTTTGTTACTA